TGTGTTTGCTGAATATTTTATGCCAAGACATGGTCCCTGTTTCCCTCTCTGTGATTTGGATACCTACCCTGCTAAGGCCTACTTTGTTAAGCAACTTATGCTGGAATACTGAAGCAGCTATGTGTCTTCACAGAACATATAAAAGCCATCATTCAGACTTAAAAGAAAAAAAAAATGATGGCAGTGGATTGGCCCCCCATTCTTCAAATACTTCCCACCCACTAGAGAATTCAAACAAAAAAACTGTCCCACAGTGCACATTCCATCCTACTGGTATTCCCAGAATAGAAGTGTTTCAACTGTTTGGCACAGTGCATCACCAGGAGTAAATACATCAAGCCAACCGGAGCTTGCATTAGGTATTAAGACCTATTCTTTCTGGGATACTCTGACATTTTGTCACAGTATCAATACAATTACATTTTCAATTGCTTTGAGTGCTACTGGGAAATGGTCCTGAAGCATGAACAACTTCTCACACATTCTGCAAGTCTCCCATCTTAAACAACACACAAGTATTTAAACCTAACAAACAAGAAGCTTCCTTTACCAAATAAAGGTAAGGCATTTCCTCATCTTTTTCTAATGTGATAGTACATGGCAACATTCTTCTTACTCATTACTTCCCAAGGAATCCTTATGGCCAAAATATTTCTTTTATTATAGATTCAGCACATTAAGTCAGCAGAAGATTTGGAAAAGATTTGCAAACAACTTTCAGCTGTATAGAAAATCTGCTGCAAAGTACTTTCTACCTAGTTCTATGAAAGCTGCAAAACAAATGAACAAAATCACCTCCAACAACTTCTTGATCAATGTTTATCACTACTGAGGTGTTGCCAAAGAAAATGGCAGGTTTCCTTCAGGGCTCCATCATGCATTAAAGAGTATTCACAGCTGCAAGTCAAGTACAAACTCCTCCTGAGAGAAATCTTATCTAATCTTATTTTATAATCTAAATAAGATTATATTTTCGCAATCTGCAATTACCTTTAAAAAAAAGTTCCAGTGGTGAAATACACTGCAAATATAACAAAGAAAAAAGCTTCAGGTTTTTGCTCATATTTATTTTGACGTAGAATTGAAACCAACAGATTGAGAATAGGAAGGAAAAATCATAAAATTCCTCTAAAACAGAGGACAACAATGAAGAAGTATGCAAGAAACTAAAACTGTGTTTTGTAACAAGACATTGATAGAACAGAGAGAAAAACAGACAATAATGAAAGACAAAGCAGATACTCCAGATGTCAGATGCATAGATGATGTCAAAATTGATGCCTGTAATGACAACAGCTATAGTACAAGAACTTGACATCTATACTAATAGTTTGCATAAACTTTCTTTACCCTTGGATGGATGCAACCTCACAATTATTTAGAAGCATCTACATTAGTAACATTAGCAGCATTTGGTTGAGGGATTGTGTCAAATGGTCAGGAGGAAGCTGTGAGTAGCCACTGTGTAACTTACCATAGCTTTTGTAGTGCAGCCAAAGCAGCAGAGAAAGACAACATAATATGTAGCTGTCATCAAATGTAGACATAGCCCACAAAAATGTAGACATAGCCCACATAATTTAATCTTCTAATAAAATATTTAGCTTTCATCTATCTTTGGAAAAGAAAACGTAAGGACATGGGTGAAAAGTAAACCAATCCCAGCTTACTCCATTTACTTCCCTGTAAGTGGAAATCCTGTACAAGACCACAGCAAGGGAAAGCAAACACATATGACTTTGCCTTTTATTACACTAATCATGACTGATATCAAAATTAAAATGCCCTAACATTATTAGGAAAACATGTTTTAAGATAGTGCCTAGCTATCCCAAGGGTTTGCAAGTGCTCATCAGATCTGCGTGAGAGGATGAGCAGACAGGCCAGACAACGAAAGCTTGTTTGAAAGGTCAAAAAAAGCACAGCTACACAGACTACAGTCCCACCCTTCCACAAGTGCTCCAGAAAGGCTCTTGGGGTCACAAAATGAGAACAGAAGCAAATTCCTCTTTCAGTTTCATTTATTATGCAGGCTACAAGCAGAATGTTACTCATAAAAAAGAGAATCTTTCCAAACGCAGAGCAGTCTGTATTAAGGACCACTGTCATTCAGTTGCCTTTGTTTGGTTGGGCAACTACAACTTATTACTTCAAAGGCAAAATCAATACAGGCAAATTCAATACTTTAAAGCAAATTCATTGCAGGGTGCCTTTTAAAGATAATCTTTGGTACAGACATAAAACTATGATACTTCACCTTAAAGTATAACAGAAAATTATAAAGCCTATTAGGACTACTCAAATCTAACTAACTTTAATTCCCAAATTGAGTACAATATTATCATTAACTGATCCACTAAGTGAACTGACCCAACAGCTTAAAACAAGTCAAAAAACACGTGACCAAAAATACATTAATTGACCATCTACATCCCCCAGGAGTCACTCTATGGAGAAAAAAATAAACACTTCCCCACACTGTTCCTTTACCATGCCATCCTTTCTTACTATATTTTTCTTATACTTTTGAGGGAAACAGAACATAAATAAACAACATTTGTAGGTTTTCTCATATATCTTATTTTGGCAGTGGTTGCAGTGTACATAACAGGGAAGAGTCTTGGAAAAAAGCTCTTGGCAGTTGGGGGATTTATTTTTTTCTGCTTGCAGAGCCACATTTCCAGGTGTATTGTACAACTTAATTGATTGTCATTGGCTCAGAATTCTAGTGCACTTGTTTACTTGTTTCCACCTCCACTTACAGATTCACTTGATTTGGGGTTACTTTCACTTTGTTAAGAAACTTTCACTGATTTCTCTTCCTATTCTGTTTGTCAGTATCCCAAACCACTCATTCGCTACCTACAGATTTTTGATTCCCTCAGTTGAAAGGAAAACCTTTCTTTATAAAAGGATTGGAAGAAAAAGCCAAGTTTCCACTAGATGAGCTCTCTTTATTATCCTCTCTATAATTCCAAATAAATTTCCAGACAGTTGCCAAGATCGTTGTTTTCCCTCAGACTGGAGACCAAAATGGTGGCTAACCTCAAGCTTGTGGACTGGTGTTACATGGCTCTTGCCACAACACTCTAAGTCATTTGTGAAAAGCCCATCAGCATAAATTAGAAAGGATCAGCTCTGCATGAACTGCATAACTAGAAATACTATATAATGTAACATTATGTTACTTGCTTTCCAAATTAAGTTATGTATTCCTAGTTACAATAATTCTGTTAATATATATGTACATATTTACTTAAATACACACACATATATATGTATGTGTGAAAGAACTGCATTATCTCACAAATCCTACACAAAACTTTAAATTACTTATGGGAGTAAATATTATAAAAGTTCAAGAGTATTGATCACAGGGCACATCACTTCCCTGTTTATAACAGTTGCCAAGATGCTAGCACAGATATTGCATTGTACAGAAACCAACAAAAAGGCACATTCACAGATACAGCTTATTGCCTTTTGTCTGACAGAATAAAGCAACACAGCATAGGAATTATTTATCATTCTGCCGGGGGGCGGGTGGAATCTAAAAATAAATACTGTGTTTTGCTGCACTTAGCTAGTTTTTAGCAACCTGATCATATCCAAGAAACTATGATTCTTATAGAAAAATATCAATGATGAAAAAACCCAGTTTATTTTAATGTAATATCCACTATAAATAATCTTATATAATAAATACCAAAGCTATTACTCCACATATGATTTATTTCAAAGTACACTGATTATAAAGGACACTTACTCAGCTACCAAATTTCACAGCACATCAAGCTTGTACAAGTCTAGATGATCTGCATGCAATAGATACTCACTCTCTTCTATATACAATCAGCTGTGCAGAAGAGATAATTATGTGGTATCCCAGCCCACTCATGTTAGAGCTCCTCTTTCTGGTGAAACATACTCCTAAAGTACAAATGGGTTCCCACTCTTACCACATCAGAAGTACACACTAAATCACATATTTTAACAGATATCTACTGGTTCAAAGGATGTACAAGTATGGGACTTCCTGCTGAAGAAATAACCCACCAAACATCTTTTGGGAATCTTAATCAGTGGTCTTGTTTAGGGAGAGGATAGCTTTAGGCAAAACTTCCTTTTCTTGGCAGATGCCAGAGGTCAATCAAAGGCATCATTCCAGGTTTTAGTAAAACAGAAGACCTTTTACCTCAAAGTGAGTGCTTAACAGAGTAACTTCAAAGAGTACAGTCACTTGAGCAGCTCTCTTCAGCACAATACAGGAGGGAAAGGATGATTTCATTTATGTAGAATGAGGCTGGAAATATGCAAATATCCCTTAATTGGAAGGAAGAGTCAGATGTATCCCACCTCTGCCCATGAAAAGTTGCCCATAATTTCTACAGGTATGTGGACAGCACTGAATTTCTACAGCAGCAGTAGACTCTGTGGGATTATCCCACAAGCAAGAGCTATTCCCTCCTGGCTACTTTTATTTCTGGGTGCTTATAGCATCCGAGCTGCTGCAAAGTGCCACAGCAGATTAATGTGATAAAAACTCTTGATGCTTCATATGGATTGCAGCTCTATTACTTGGAATGGCAGGTATGAAGCTATTTATATCTATCCATACCTGGAGAGAAGTGAATTCCAGAGACTGGAATTCCAGCGTCATAAAAGCTTTGTACCAACAAATTTAGACTGACAATATGAAAAGGAAAAAAAAAAGCAGAAGCATTCATATAAAGTTTAAGTTGCACAGGTCTTTTGTCCAAAATTATACTCAGTCACTGTTGGGATCTGTTACCTAAGAATACTTATGATATCTAAGACATCCACTTAACTCTAACACTCACCAGGCATTTATTTCCTGTCATTCTAGCAAAAATAAAACACAGGTTTATTATAAACTTTTTTCCCCCACAGTTATTTATTAGACTTGTCACCACTTTCCCATACCATCTTCATGGACTTTGAGTCCTGTGTATGACACCACCTCCCAAGTAAGCACTCACAGAAAATGAAGTTGAAAAGAAGTTTGAAAGGTTCCTCTGTTAGTCTTCTTCCAGGATTTCTTGGGTACTTCTTCATTGTTTCCTCAACCTCTGACTGAAACACCTTCTCCAAAGTCCCAAATGATTCAGTACAACTTCCACATATGGAAACCTAAACATCCAGGTTTACTTATATGTTGTACAATGCACAGCCATTTACATTTTCCTTACCTTCACTGTAACAAAGTGAGGTTGTTAACAAATGTGGGTATTTATCTTCCTTGTATTAAACAAATCAGGGTATTATTTCATAAAACACACCTTGTTCCTAACCTAACAGGAAAGCTCTTATAGTCGTAAGTTAATGTAATTTACACTATCCTACTAGATGCATCTGTATTATTTTATTAGATTATTAGACAAAAATATTATGTCAGACTCCCTGACATAATATCCAGATGTTAAGAAATCACATTAGCAGATTTTGTAAATCTAACTGCCTCTGAGCCAGATACTAGCAACAGGAAACACAAATAAACACAGTAAAGCAACTGTTACTGTGACATTCCTTTACACTTCAGGAGTGAATGCAGAGCAAAGAGATTTTCTCATATCCAAGTGAAGATCAGTTACCGAATTTACTAAATCGCCTCCACATTTCTGTGTTTAACTGCAACAGCATTTTTTCTTCTGACTGGATGATTATGGCATATTTATTTTATTTTTGCTTATTACATAACAGTAACAACTAATTAACCTGTGCAGAATGAGATATTTATGACTCTAATATAAGGATACAGTGTAGAGAAATATAGGCCTAGTAGAACAGGAGAGACTTCGAGAAACAGAAATGCAAGAGTGGAGTTGGAATGGTAGTAGAGAGAATCTCCCCTCAACTATGTATTAGTGTCCTGCTTGTTAAAAGATACAATTAAGTTTAATTAGTCAACAAAAAGTGTAGCTAATGAAACTCTTTCTAGATAATGTCCAGTGACAGTTATACATAACCCACTCAATAGCGTATAACTATGTGTAACAGTTCCATTAATCTTCTTACCTACAGGTGTTCTGATTGTACTGTCCTTGCTCATGGCTGAGCCAATACCTTACTACCAAGAATGGCTCTGCTTAAGTCAATAAACTAAAAGATGTACAATACTCAATTGCTAAAGGATAACAAATGTAGAACCTGGATACTTTCAGATACTCTAGAATCTTAACTGGACTTGAAAATGCAGTAATTAATTTAGCTCAAGAAATACAAAGAAGTGCTAGACCACTAGGTGTGGAAAAAATTGTATTACCTAAATCCTACCAGTTTTATTGCCTATTCACTAACTGATCAAACCATCTCTGGTACGGAGTACTTTTCATATTTTCACAGAACTACAAAATGCTTTGGGTTGGAAGGGACCTTAAAGCTCATCTCATTCCAACCCTGTGCCATGGGAATGGACACCTTCCACTCAACCAGGTTACTCAAGAGTCCCATTCAACCTGGCGTTAAACACTTCCAGGGATGGCACAGCCAGAGCTTCTCTGGGCAACCTGTTTCAGCACACAATCACACTTGGGATAAAAAATTTCTTCCTTATGTCCAACCAAAATCCTCTTTCAGTTAAAAAGCATTGCCTCTTGTCCTGCCAACAGAAATCTTGGAGGAAACAAAAAGGAAAAACAACAAAAAAAAAAAAGACAGGTTAAAAATATGTAATAAAATCTTTCTCCATTTTTCTCACAAATCCCCGTTTATACATATCAAAAAGCTGAACAATCTCAACTCTTCTGGCCTTTCCTCACAGGAGAGGCGCTCCAGCCTGTTAACCATCTTTGTGCCCCTCCTATGGACCTGCTCCAAGATCCCTGCTTTACTTGTGTTGGGAATGCTGGAGACAGATGTAGTACCTTCAGGTGGGGTCTCACTGGAGTGGAGTAGAGAGGCAGAATTACTTCCCTCATCCTGGTGTAGCACTTCTTTTCATGCAGCTTAGGACACAACTGGCTTTCTGGGTTGCAGATGCACATTGTCAGTCCACAGCCAAGTTATCATCCACCAGTATCCCAAGTCCTTCTTCTGCAGCATTGCTCTCAAATCATTCATGCCCCAGCTTGTGCTGATAATGGGGATCACCTGACCCTGGTGTAGGACCTTGCACTTGGCCTTGCTTGGCTTTAAGCAGCTTGTGGATCCTCAAGCCTGTCATGCCCCCGCCCTGAATGGCATCCCTTCCTTTTGGTGTATCAAATGAACCACTCACCTTGGTGTCATCTGCAGCTGTGCAGACCTGACCAAAATAAACTTGACCTCATTTATTTTGGTGACGTACATACTGAATAACACTGGTTTCAGTATGAACACCAATCATTACTGGTTCTCACTTGGATACTGAACTATTGACTGTAACTCTTGGGACAAGGATGCTGTGGAGGACATTACCACAGAACCAGACAAAAAATGAAGCAGCATGCTGAGAGAGAAAGTTTTCACTCTAAAAGACCTGTCTGCAGTAAAAAACAACAGGAAACATATTACAATGTGTTTAAAACTCTTAAAATTCTGCCCAGCCTCTCAAGTTTATTCCACAGTGAATCATTTTATGTAAAACTAGGATGCTGGCAAAATCAGGTATGTCTGAAGCTCTGTAACTAGGTTCAGCAGATCTACTCAAAGAGTAAATGATTAACCCACCTAAAACATGCACGGAAAAGCCTAGATGAAGTGGACCAAACTTACGCCAGAGAAGAAAGGTATAAGCCATCTGAATCTGCATTTCGCTACTTCCAACACTTCTGAGTATATTAAAATATTAATAAAGTGTTAAATTGAGTTTCGTTTTCGATATGAACCTACCCCACTGGTATAAAATTTTAACCTCAGAAGGCAAAATGAATTACATTCAAGGATTTACCAGCAGTAGCTCGGGAAGCTTTACCTGCAGTAGTGCCGCAGCCAATAGCTTCCACATAGTACAACACTGCTGTGGCTAAATAGCCCTCAGTTCGAGGATGCCCCTCCTGCATAGTACTGGAGGAAATTAAGAATAGTAAATGCAGGCCAAGTGACAAGAATGACATCTTGATAGTGTCACAGTTCCTCAAAAGCTGTCCCAAGTGAAACAGAACTTCCCCAGCTTGGAAATAGAATTCTTCTTAGGAGAAATCTAACATGATCACAGCAGTAACTAGGAAATCACAATTATAAACTCAAGTTTTGGTTGCATCCATTACTGGCAAAAAAAAAAAAAAAAAATCATGGGTAAGTAGTTCTTCCTAGAGAAGATCTAAAAAGATAGATATAAAAAAGCTAGATGAATGTGAGCTGGAAATAATAAATTGGGCCTTCTCAATGTTTCTTAAAATAGTGATAAAAATTTTTGTTAAAGATGTCATCATCCCCTTTGGTCTTCAGTGTCCATTTGTAACGTAAAACTGAACTGCAGTTCACTGCTACAGGAAATTGTTCATGGGAAAATCATTAATTCTACAATGAAGTAAAAATAATTTCAACATTCATTTCAACAGTCACAGGAGAACATTTAATATTGCAGTCACATGAAAGAAAAGTACTGCTTCCCTTAAGAAATAAAATCCCACTCCTAAACCATGCACTTGACAAATCTCTTCTAAAGAATCAGACTGATGACACAAGTTAAAAAGCTTTGAGAAGTATTTGCCTTTGTCATTTTTAAATGCTGTGAGGAATCCTTGAGATTCCAAGGAAAGAAGTTTAGGACATCTATTCCTCTGAAAAACATACCTGCAGGCTAATAAATAAGTAGCTGCAGAAACAAAGACAACAAAGTCAAGAGAATAACTGTTACAGCAACCTAATTTAAAAGGAAAACTACATTACGTGTGCTCTATTTGAAAATGCTGCACTTTCCATTTTTATAGATCCTTAATATTATGGGCTCTAACAAGGGAAAGAACTTTGCTTCCAACACAAGAGCAGAGTAAGTGCTCAAGATTTCTGCAAATGTGGTAACACAATAACATTTCCACTACTAATATCCATTCATGTAAATGAACTAAAATGAAGTAAACACACTAATGAAACAGCTCAAATAGCAAAACTTCTACAATTCTTCAGAATGCTGCCTTCTTCCCTAATGATGAATATAAAGATTCATCCTTTCTTACCCATGTAACATGCTTTCAAAATGAAGTTAAAAATATTACTGTATTATGACAGTAAAACACTAGGTATCACTCATAATGACTTTACTAGAGAGTTCTTGCTTACAAATGGCAAATGAGGAAGCATACATAGCACTTATTGAACTCTATTCAAAAGCTGTTTTTTCCTTCTTGAATACTGTGTTCCGACTCTTCTTCCAGAATAATACTTCCACTCTTTCAGTCATGAGTGCTGAATATCTATGATCCTAGGCCTACACACTCTCTGCAGTACTCTGCAAAACCATTTGAATTCCATAGAAGTAGAAAAGATTCTCTCATAAGTTAAATTATTTCAGACTCCCCAATTTTTATATCACCTTAGCTTTGTGGCTTGTCTTCCCTCCCTAAACTTTTTTTTTTCCATTTCCCTTTTTGAAGGAAGCCAAGAGGATTTTCGTTTAGTCAGATCAAGGTTCAGACCATGGCAGTGAATTAAAAACCTGATTTTTCCAAGGTGTAAACATGTCACACAGCATGCCCGTGGTACCGAGGCAAAGGCTGCTTTACCAAGCCACTTTTACGCTTTTGCATAACTCGGCTCACTGCTGGAGGCCTTCGGGGCTCCTGGTGCAGCAGACCGGTCCTAAGGGGGTTTGCTCATTCTGCGTGTTTGTTTCGCCACGGAAATATCGCGCACACTGGAAAAAGAAATCAGCTCTGTAGCAACACCTTCAAACAGGCTAAGCAGCTTTGCAAACCCCGTGTCCCCCATCGCAAATACATCGCCTTCCAAGGATCAATGAAAGCAGAGCCCAAACACCCAGATGAAGTTCTGCCCCCGGTGACCTTCCCGCGGCGCCGGTTAGCAGGACGAGCGGGAAGCTCCCGCTGTAGGCACCGCGACCCCCGGCAGCCCACAGGTGCCACCGCGCAGAGGGCTCCGCCACCGCGCACCGGGTTCCAGCACCGCACACCGCTCCGGACACCCCACGGTCCCCGGCCCCGCACAGCGCTTCAGGCATCCCGCACTCAGCCCAGCCCGGCCCGGCCCGGCGTGCGCACCTGCCGCCCGGCCCCCCTCTGCCCCAGAACGCGGACAAAGCGCCCACAACGCACCTGCTCCCGCTGCGAGGGCGGCGGCGGAAGCTCCAGGTCTGCCCGCCCCCATTTCTGCGCCCACCGGCTCTTTCCCTGAACCGACCGTCCCGCTTTGCTCCAGGCCGAGCCAGGAGGTCCGGCGTCCCGGGGTCTACCTCCGACACGGGGGACCCTGCGGCCACCGCGCCCCACATTTGCCAAGGGAAACAAACTCCGTCTGCCTCTGGCCGCCGCTGTCCGGCCGGGCGGATCCGCGCTGTGAACAGGCCGGAGGGCAGTACAGGCGCCGGCAGCCCCCGCCCCAGCACCGGCGCTCGCCCCGCCGTGCCCCGCGCTCACCGTAGAGATATGCGGAGGCTTCGCCCTTCCTCGCCATCGTCTCCCGGTGCCCTCCGCGCCGGCACTGTCGAGGCACAGCCAGGGGCCCGGCGCCTCCCCCCGCCGCTCAGCGCGCTCTTTGTTGCCGTGAAGGCATGAGAGGCGGCGGCGGCCGGGCAGCCTCCCGCTCCTCTCTGTCGCGGCCGCCCGCAGCACCGCCCGCACCCCACGCCCGCCCACCCTCCCGTCCCGCAGGCTCCGCGGCGACGCCTGCGCCGACCCGCGGGGGCGGTGCCGGTGCCCGGGTCGCGAGGGGGAGGGTGCGGGCGGAGCTGCTGTGCCGAGGGCCGGCGCCCGGTGCTGGGACGGGTCGCGCGTCGCCAACTTCGCTTGGGCCCGGTGGCAACTTCGGCATCCGGGGAGAGCGGGGCCGTACCTGGCAGGGCGGTTTCCATCCTCCCGCACCGACCGCCGCTGGTCGCAGCCGGGCGCGCTGCCCGTCTGTGCCCGTGCCCTGCGCAGGGCCCGCAGGTGTTGCCGCTGGTGGGGAGCGGCCGGCCGGCCCTGAAGCCGCTCGCCGCCCGGGCGGAGCCGCTCGCTTGGCGGAGCTGTCCGTGCCGCCCGTGCTGAGCGCCGGGCCGGCCGGGCCGCCCTCGGGCAGCAGGCTCGTGCCCAGCAGACGGCACGGGCTCCCGGGGCTGGAGGAGAGAGAAGCGTTCTTACGTGCTCACCGACAGCCGTCCGTCTTGTCCCCGACGGGGGAATCGTGTTAGTCCTGGGCTGGGACATGTTCATGATGCAGTTAAAAAACACTTTCAGTACTGAGAAATACGCATTTCTGGTCATAAACTTTCCTTCAGTTGACATCCTCCTCCATGCATTTTATCTGAATGGGACAAAGGCCACTTACGAGCAATTAGTCTGATTGCTGAGATTCTTTTACAGTCATGACAGCACAAGTCATCACTACAGCAAAAGGCCACTATATATAGATGTCATGATGCTATTAGTTTGTTGTCACTAAGTCCAAGACACAGAGTATTTTATAATAGAAAATATTTTGAAATTGCAGAAGTGCACCTATCAGCCATTACTTGTATTTTCAGACGTGAGCTTTGGAGGAAAAGTTACTTTCCAAGACTTGCAAATAAAGGTACCCTTTCAAAAATTGGCTTAAGACCTCAAAAGCACATGGCTCATTTATTTATGAGTAAATTAATGGCCCTAGATCATGGAAGTTGTTGCTCTGCTTGTATGAAAATGTAAACCAATCATCTGTGCATTAGTGAGTGTATGCGCCTCTTACATACATGGTCTGTGCATCATCAGGTCTTGTAGAGGTAGCTGCCTTGGCCAGTTTCAAGAAAACTAGATCAGGCATATTTACAACCTTATCAATCCTCCTAGAGGTCTTAGTTCAGGCCAATTGCTCCAATAATTACGGAATTTCACATTTCACATATGTAGTTTTGTCTGCTAGTAGCGGAAATACTGGTGGGAGTCATTCCTCCTCCCCTCCCCCCCCATATATTAAATTGTTTAAATTTATACTTTTACATATTATATTTTCAAATGAGTTCTTGCTTCCTTCAGTCATGCCATTTTATCAGAGTATTACCTGGGCAGAGGTTTATGATTATGTGCACTGCTCATGGTCTACAAATTTAATGAGAGTTCCTTCTTAACCTTGTCTCCCTAACCTCTAGGCCACTTACCTAGCCTAGCTACCCAAGATGCCTGTCTGTGTTCCAGGAAATGGACCCCAAATAAATACCTGATGTGGAAAAGGGTTGATGTACTTTGCTGTCTAAGAAGAAATTCTGATTTCATCTCAGTGATGCTGACTAGGAAAACAACTCAGACAATCTCACCTGCAGAAAAAAGATCTTCTTGTGTCAAAGACTGAGTCAAACATGAGAAAAGTGGCGTAGGACTGCTTTGTAAGAAGGAAGGAGGTGTATTAATGTCTTCTGGCTCATTCTGATAAGGCACGGCAACCTAAAGGTAGCAGGGCATGACTGGATTTGATAGTCAGAGACTAAGTAGCAGGCTTGAGGAAGCTTCAGTTATTATTCTACAGCTCAGTGTTCTTCTGTTCCCCTTGTGCAGATGAATGTATCTATATATAGCTGTATTGGTTTGGCATGGCCTTGTGGGTGCCTGGCATTGGGTCAGTGTCTAACCACAATAGCCTACCTTCAAGAATGGATATTGGAATCTCAACAATAAGAAACATACGTAATACAGGTAGTATAGCCTGTTCTACTAATAAATATGTATGATATATAAGTATCACATATTATATACTGCATATATATATAATAGGTATAATACAGAGCATATACAATGTCTATATTGTGTCTATACTTTACAGTTTATATAATATAGTATTTATATCCTCCAGGAGAAGTAACTTTTTACTTGGTTCTGACTACCAGAACCAAGGAACAACTTAAAAATACATGAAAAGAGAAAACTTGCTAAAAAGAATACAAAAGGTTAGAATAGTGCTAAAACTACAAGACAGATATTCAGATAGATAGAAGGCTATGTAAGGAGACCTCTTTGAGACAAAGCAGATCATCTTTGTATATTCATGTTTCTCTGAAGGGCCTGACATACGGCAGAAGGAAGTCACCAGGACTAGTTGGAATGAAAAGGGCAGTAGCTACTAACAAGGAGGAATATTCCTATGTTCCTATAACCTATCAAAATAGGGAACAGTTGTGTTCAGTAAAT